AGAACCAACAAATATGAATGACGGCTTCCCAAAAATATAATAGTTTTATTTGGCGTTTCCTGCATTTTATTATTACCCGTAAATGTAAATATAATAATAATATAAATATAATAATATAATAAAAATAATAAACAATGACAATAAAATTTCCATTAATAATATTAATGGTAACAATGACAATGACAATGACAATGACAATGACAATGACAATGACAATGACAATGACAATGACAATGACAATGACAATGACAATGACAATGACAATGACATGACAATGACAATGACAATGACAATGACAATGACAATGACAATGACAATGACAATGACAATGACAATGACAATGACAATGACAATGACAATGACAATGACAATGACAATGACAATGACAATGACAATGACAATGACAATGACAATGACAATGACAATGACAATGACAATGACAATGACAATGACAATGACAATGACAATGACAATGACAATGACAATGACAATGACAATGACAATGACAATGACAATGACAATGACAATGACAATGACAATGACAATGACAATGACAATGACAATGACAATGACAATGACAATGACAATGACAATGACAATGACAATGACAATGACAATGACAATGACAATGACAATGACAATGACAATGACAATGACAATGACAATGACAATGACAATGACAATGACAATGACAATGACAATGACAATGACAATGACAATGACAATGACAATGACAATGACAATGACAATGACAATGACAATGACAATGACAATGACAATGACAATGACAATGACAATGACAATGACAATGACAATGACAATGACAATGACAATGACAATGACAATGACAATGTTTATGCGATTCTTTTTAATAATCAATTAAAAACGATTCACTTATGTCAGTTCATATCACAAGCAAACAGCAGGTAAAATTGTCTTTCGGCAAAAAAGCAAATTGTATACATTTTATTATTAAAGTCATGTCTTAAAGAGGGGCTCCATAAATCCTTATAAATAAATAATGGATTTCTGCAATTCATTTTTCATACTTTTTATTTATTATCGGAGCCAAAATGCCGGCTGGCGGCTAGTGAACTAAAGTTTCGACATTCCTTGCTCATATAACTTTTGTTCTTGGCAATGTTTATATAGCCTGCTTGCTTTCTATTAGTTTTTGCAAGTGTTTATATGAGCTCTAAGAAATATGAGCGCTCAGTGCCCCACCCTCCGCTCCACTTCACTCGACTCCACCGATGTGGTCATAAAAATTGTGGAACAGGCAATGCCAACAGTGCAAAATGGCAAATGCTGCAAGCGCCAACGAACCAAAAATGAAATGGCTTAAGCTTTGTGCAAAGCGTCTGTTCCTGTTTGTTGTTGCTGTTGTTGCTGTTGCAGTTGTTGTTGCTGCTGCTCAAATATAAATGCATTTGCGCCCGACCACAAAATGTGTTCAACCGGAAATTGTACGTGGAGAGTGCATGAGTGGGCGGTTTGGCTTGGGGGCTGATACGGGTTATACTCTGTGCGCAATACGAAATAGGGTATATTGAACGCACATGAACGCACGCCAGCTATCATCGATCAGTTTCGAAGATTATAAGAGCTTCATATACAGTTTACAAAAAAAAGGCTTTGGTATACTGATAAACAAACAAAATTTCTTAATAATAACTATAAAATTATAAGAGCTAGATACATCAAATTTAATAAGTAGATTGTCTGTATAGGGATTAAGATTATTTAACTTCTTGGAGACCTCTTGCCAAATTAGAACAGAGTATTGCACAGTCGGTAGTGATGCAATGCGACTGCATTGATGCCACTTGTGTGTGTGTGTGTGTTGTGTTATGTTATGTTTGTGTCTGTGCGCGCAATTGGTCTATGGGCTTTTGGGTGCTTTGGCAGTCATTGCCATACGTTCCATTAGCTTTTTTAAGCGCCTATTGCCGTGGTCGCTTTCTGGCCTCTGCACTTGTCTCTCTCTCTCCCTCTCTCCCTCTCTCGGGGTGCTGAAATTTTAACAGATTTTTGCGTGTGCGGCTTTTCTATATTGCGGTTGGCCAAAAGCCGCTGCGACTAAGCTGCACCCATGTGCCAAATGCTCAGTCAGACAGTCTGTCTGTCCGTCTGTTTGTCTGTCCATCAGTTTTGTCGGTTTTCAGTTCTGTCATTCGGTTCTTATTTGCATCGATGGGGATACAAAATGGAGCATAGCAGTTATTGGAGTTGTTAACGTCATCATTGCCATCAGTTGCACCTGCCTGACGCAGCACTTTTCGCCAGCAACGACGCGTCAAAGTGCAAATGAGTCAGGAGACAGACATACACACACACACACACGCATACACACACACACACAGCACACCCATCGAGCCGGGGCACTGTGCAAACACAAGAAAATGCACTCATGCAATATGCAGCAGGTAATCTCGTTTCTTTTAATCGCTGTTTGACATCAAAATTAGAATTTCTTAAGATGCTGCAAGTCGCCAACTATATAGACACGAAGATAAAGACGCCTTTATTGTTGCTTGTTTGCTTAGATTTTACTTTTGTGAGAGTCGCGTCTTTTTTTCATCTTCTTTTGCCTCTTCAATGGACACCTTTGATTGGGCGCCGTTCTTTGCATAGGAAAATTGAAAATTGATGGAACGCTTTTTAGAGCCGACCACAGTTTGCTTGCCATCAATTCAAAATTATCCTTCCTGGGAATGTTCACACACTCAATGCATTTGCCATTTAGTTGACAGGCTTCTTTTCTAGCCCGAACCCTTTCCCTTTCCCTTTAAGTCCAGCATTGTTCATTTGTACAGTTTTAGGCATTTGGGAGTTGGCCCTGGGTCCATTGTGTCCACTTTGGTTACCATTGATGCTGTGACACGTTCCAACAATCGCTCACTTTGACGGCTGCTTCGGTCCATTGTTTGATGTTGTTTTTCTTTCTTTTTGTTGTTGTTGTTGTTGCAGTTGTTTACTTTGTTTTGCATTCACATTCTATCCTTTCATTGTTTCCGTAGGGTATCCAGGTTTTGCAGTAAAAAGAGGAAAAAACATGCAAGTTAAGCTCGAACTGCCGCAGCTTGAATACCCGGGCACACATGATATGATATGTTATGATATGATATGATACGATATGATATGATGGCCAAATTTGAATGAGAGTTACGAAAAGCTATTAAAACAACAGGAAACTATATTATGTATTATTCATTAGGGCTCAAATTTTAAGTTCGTCTTGACTTTTGATTACTTTGTAAATTGTTAATGAACCAATGAACATTTCGGTTCTATCCAAAAATGGGCAACTCCTTTGGTTTTGGTTGAGGTTTGAACCAATATAAAATTGCGTGCACTAACCTGGCTGGGCTCAAAACCAATTAAGTATGCTTCGTTGTGAAATCCGCCTTGGAGCTTAAACTTTGGTCATGTTTTCATTTTCGGATTTCGGTTTGTTTGTAAAAAGTTCGTCTAGATTCAACTGTTGCCTGGTTTGTTTATGCATTCCATTGTATTATTGTTTAGTTACTTGGGAGCCCCAGATGTGTTGTGGGTGCCACATCTGTAGCATTGCCACATGCATTCAGGTGAAGCAGTTTTGCAATTTCACGCGGCCAGCCTCGGGACTCGAAATGGCCAGGCGAGCCCTGCCCCAATGCCCGCCCCACCCATGTGCGAGTTCCAGTTGCGTCATCATTTGACTGAAAGACAAATGGAAGCTACACTTGGCATGGCTACTGGCGGCAGCAATTAAAGGATTTCATGTTGTTGCTCTTCTTCCTCTTTCCGGTCTCATCTCGCAGGATGAGTACACACAAATTTTTTGCTCTTGTCTCCATTTAGTCACTGTTAGTTTTAACTTTAAGGGTCATTTGTCTCTTGCAAAACTTTTCGTCTCACTTTGTTTCGCCAACTTGCCAAGTCATTCTGAATGGCTCTGAGCTGCGGGGTGGACCCTGTCTGGTCAGGACCCGGGCCTTGGCCTCGCCAAATTATTGGTCCTGTTGGGGAATAATATATCTTCATATAAACATGCAGCGCCATAAACAATATGAATTTATATGTGCGCTGTGAAACATTTTAATTAATCACTAGAGGGCATCAATTGCATTTTGTATGCTAATAATTTATGTTATAAATATTGCACAATCTCATGTTTCGCTTGTCGGTAGACTCCTCTTCCCACATCCATTCCGCCTTCCGCTGCACCCTGATCACATCCATAATTTGAGGTTTAGCCGGGGGGTTTCCCCCCTTTATCCCCACCCCGAACATGCAACACGCTTGTGGCACGCATTTAAAACGAATTGATATTCAATTATGCCAACGACTCTCCACAGTGGCAAGCAAATGGTTAGGGTTTGGGCGTGGCTGCCACCCAGCGCAAAATATTAAACAGCAAACAATAAATATTTATTTAGGTTTGCTGTTCATATTTTACCATGTTTGTTGTGGTTGTAATTGTTGTTCAAAATGCGAGAAAAAATGCAGCATTTATTCGACCAGCAAACAACGCGAATCGGTTGCTCTTTAAAAATCGGCATCAGTACATTTGGCTGTCATTTATCTATCGAACCTCAACAAAGACGGGCTAAATTGTGAGCCAATTGTTGGTCCTTGCTCTGATTTTCGCTATACATTATTGAATTTTTTAGTGTAGAAATCAGCGTGCCACAAATAATTGTTAAACAAGATCTTGGAGAATGCGTTGATAAGATTTCTTGTTTTGATTTATTGTATATAAATAGATTTGAGCATTATCGTAAAGCTCCAAAATGTTCATTATTGTTTCGACAGTTTTCAAAAGTTCAAAATTTTCAAAATTAATAAACATGGGCTTAAGGACTCAGAAGATCCTTCCGTAATATCATCTTGCTATGTGGTATTTTAACATAATTTGGCTGGTATTTTGAAGCTGCAATTCCTAATTAATTCGACAATAAACACAAAATTTATTTAACATTATTTATTTCATTTTTACAATTTCGAATAATTTTAAAGTTAAACTATGCTTACGCGAAATTTTCTGAACTTAATGCTTACATTTGCCAACTCAATTTAAATATGGATTTACTTCATTACAATAAGCAACCCAATTGGAATCCATATTTGTAGATATACTCTATTATTAACTGTCTACGTAGCTTGCGACGAGTGTGGGCGGCAAGATGCAATCGCCCATCATCCAAATAACCCTGATTAATGCCCGGTCTGTGAACCAAAAATGCATTATCCAATGTATAAAACCGATAGCCCATTAGGCACAATGCAAAGGAATGGGTTGCCTTATCGGACATGCCCTCCCAGCTAAGAGTCTCATCGTAAACCGGATCTTGTTTGGTTCCAATGTAGATCGGATCCCAGTAACCGATGCGTTTATTCATGCCAAACACTCGGATTGTATTGCTGTAATCGACATGTTGAATCCATTTTTTAAGATTTGGCCCAATGTTGAATTGGGGGGCGACATCTCTGTGAAAGGGTATTGCCTGGCCAGTCTTCAGCTTGTATTTTAATTCCCTTTTGGTGGTTGGCACAGTGCTATTCGCACTCACCTCGAAAATGTTAAGTGGAAAGACAAGCGGCTTTGTGGCGTTCAGTAAATGCATATTAGCTGCTAGCATAAGCAAAAAGCCATTGACCAGGCCAGGCGAGGGATATAGCTCGATATCGGAGGACAGAACGTAATGTGTCAGTGCCGCCTCTTTGGCAATATTTCGTCCCACATTAATGGGATATTCGAGTTCCATTTGCTTTCTATATAGCTGATCACTTGACACATTGGCAAACGGCGGAACTTTGGTGCATTGAATTTGTCTGGCTAACAATGTCGTTTGATTGTAGACCTGTCGCGGTATATGACTAGCATTGAAATAGATGTGAAAACTAACCCATTTGCGGATTAGCTTACGCTGTGGATCACATTGGCGCAGCCACAGAATGCTCGACACCGTCTTGTTGAAGTCCGTACCCGGTGCGTAGAGTGCCAAACTAATGGGTGCTCGCCAACGCTCCACCAAGGGCGCCACATTGTTCAGATATCGATAGTCCCCGTGGGTGGTGTACGTAACAAACATCGAGCATCGCAGACTGCCGTGCTCTGCGGGTACATAGTTCACCAGAGCCCAGTAATTCGAGTGCACTTTCTTTTCATATACATTAACGCGATCTGTACAATTTACAGCAATGCGCAGGCGAAGAAATTTCGTGGCTTCATCGGAATTCTCCGATTCTTTTCGAATCTCTGCCGTTGTCTCGCCCCGCACCATGTGGAGGCTTAGCATGTAGAGCAGAAGCAACAAACATGATCTATGCATTTTTTTAAAAAATTTATTTATTGTTGAAGTTGAATTATTAGTGCAATTAAAAGTGTGCCCGATTCCCTATTAAGAACTTTGCAGTCGATCAACTTAAAACAATTTAGATACTTGATCTTAAATTTGGTTTGCACTTGAATCGACAAACTATACACAGCCTTCTTTGTTAACAAGTGTACGATATTTATATCAAATATCATATTTAAAGTAATTTTGTAGGCGTATAAGTTAGACTAATTTAAATAGAAACTCAAAAGCGGGGCAGGTATCTGAAAATTGAAATAGTCAAATTGCCTGATTTAGATGCCAAATTGATCTAAAGGCCACGTTACGAACAAAAAGCAAACCTTTACGAAAATTGATTGAGTTTTGACTGAATTTTGTTTTTAATTCTAATACAAAAGGCAATATTTTTGAAGCTCTGCTCTATTGTAACACATTTTTTGTTTGTCTAATTAGTTTGCATTTCCCGCAATCAGAGAACTTTAATATTAACATTCTATTAAAGACAATAGGTATACGTAAGTGATATATATATTTTTTAATATGACCGCAAAGCAGTTATCAAAATATATGTTGCATTGGGAAATTGATCAATTTCGACAATTGGCAGGTCATTGAAATCAATATAATGCAAATAATCTGTTGGTAAGTGGGCCTTATATTGATTAGCGAGAATTTTAATATGCAGCCTGCGCAAACATACAATTAATAAACAAAATTAATGTACATTGTTATTCATCGTAGTGTGTGTTTGTGTGTGTGTGTGTGTGTGTGCCATAACCCGGTATTTTGCAACTCCCGCCGGACAGCGAAATTTTAATTATGCACCATCGAATGGTGGTGGCAAAATATATAATGTATATAGAAAGTATTAGTAATTACGAGTTGAAATTTCATGAAAATACAATTTGCGATTATTGTTATTAGTGTCAGAGGCAACAGGCTATGGTTATGGCCCACACTCAAGCCCCACCCCACCCTCCCTAGCCCTACGCCCTCAGACAACTTTCAATGGTGTAAAAGTTTTACAAGCAGCGTTGTCGAGCGACAGCAGTTGAAAAATTTATAAATTCAATAGCACCTAATTAAAATTAAATCTGAAAGCTTGTTGTATCGACGATGGCATACAGCTTAGGCGCCAGCAACAGTATCAACAGAAGCAACAACAACAATTACGAAAACAATTACAACAAGCTTAAACTGTACTCGGGAATGCTTGACCGGAATATACTCTGTGTCCAACTGCAACTTTATCTTTATAGCTAGATAATAATCGTAAATCATTACTATATTTATTGTTCGATGTTTATAGATTTACCTGACGTAAAGATTTCATTGCAATATGTGCGTATACAAAAAACTATGCAATGTTCTCAAAAAACTATCAAAAAACTATAAAAAAAACTACTTGCGTGCTAAGCTTTATGCTAAAGAAACTGTATATCGATGTCTATCGACGTGGGCATGTTATCAAAGTTATCTCTCCTTCAGATTATAGTTCTGATCGAGAATATATGTATATATTATTTATATATATTCATTTGTGCTAGCCTCATTTGCTTGTTACATACGTTTTCATAGTCCCCTTTTGCCACATTTTAATGGGTATATTTACGCGAGTTACAGGAAAAAGACGGGCTGGGATGCTGCCTAGCTTGCTTTGGTCGTTGTTGTTGCTGCTGCTGGCAGGATATGCACGGTAAACGCTATAGCCGGAAATGAACACGTACTGTGTGTGTGTGTGTGAGTGTGTGTTTACGAGTACCTGGAAAAAGTTTACCAGCTGGCTCAGCCGGGCTGTTCTGAGCTTATTTATGAGCCAGCATTCTGCGTATGTGTATGTGCGTATGTGTGTCTGTGTGTGTGTGTACAATATTAATTATTGAGAGATTTGATATCGGCTTAAAGTTTCTGTTGTCGTGAGTGTTTTTTTTTTGCACGGCCCACGCTCACGACGCCCAAAAGTATGCAATGTGGCAAGCAAATTGAAGTCACTTGTCGCATGCATCATAATCATAATCAACATCATCATCATCATCATCATCACCATCGTCATCATGAGGGTGAATCCAATTTGGAGCGAATCTTTTGTGGGACAAGAGGTGGCTGCCGTAACAAGAAAAAATAACAACTTTAACCCATTGCTGGGTGATGGGGTCACTTTGGCTCTTCGACTGTTGCACTTACTTTACTCTGGCGCTGGAAATGAACCAATAAATCAGTTTATAATGGCAAAAAGGCAATAGCAAATGCAATACGATGACAGGACAAACTTTTGGCGCCTCTTTTGGAAGCAGACCCAAGCAGCAGCTGCATAGATCAATGAACCAAAGTCGAAAGTGTTTTTACGATGCGCCTGAAAGCAACGCAATGGAATTATATTTACTTGTGTGAGCAATAATCAAACCAGAGAAGGCAAAAGGATGGCCATAGCTGAAGACATGGACTGTAAATGGCATTGTGCACGCCGTGAGGGATACTAGAAAGCGATTGATGATTCAGCTACACAGAATCAAAGAGTCAAACTAATGTGGGCTGTATGTACTTTCTGAATGTACTCGGGAAAATGGAAATATGATAGTACAAGCGCATGTTTTATTTTCTTTTCAAATGAATAGCCTGAAAAGGTTGGAAACTAAACTATGGTTTTTGTTAGTTATAATAAGAATTTCTTTTGAAATCTTGTCTATGATTTCCTACAGAATCACATATATTTTTTGTTTTTTTGATTAGTTTTCTGAGAATCGGTTAGCAATTGTGGCCATAACATGACAGGGAGGGTATATATATGTAGAGGCCAAGCTGTATTAAACTGCAGGTTCTAACTTGTTATAAGTAAGTACAAGGCAGTTGAAAATAGTTTCCAAATTTGATTCCGAGCTGTGTACTTTCTTGGTAAAGTATATTTCACAATGATCTGTGAAGCGATGTGAAGCCGGATTGACTGGAGTAAAGGAATAAAAATCTTTCAGTTTTTCCTCCATTTTTCACATTAATCGGTGAAATTTCGAAAAATCATTTAAAAACGTGTGGTTAAATGATGAGCGTTACGTTTCGAAAAATATTAAAAAGTTAATCGTATCAATTTTAAACGTAAATGCTCAGCTTAAGGACGATTTAACATGCAGCGAATGATTTGTTTGCAATCGACAAAATATGTTATCGATAAAATTTCAAATAGCTCCAAAATATATAATTTCAGACTTATCAGTTATTTTTCATATTTGCCAACATTATTTCTAGCATTCAGTTTATTTATAGATCTCAAAAAGAATCTTAGACCTATTCTACGAAAAACCACAAAGGTTTCCGTTCTTTCCCAACCTTGTTTTCGGATTTGAATTAATATTCTTCTTAGTAGCATATATCTAGTTTCCATGATTTTAATTGAGCATAAAATGCAGCTGAATTGTTGAAGTGTCAAATGGTGACACTTCAATTAAATGTAATTTCTTTTCAATTTCAAAACTCGACTTGCACCAATTCCGACACAAGTTCGGTTCGTATTTTATGCAGCCCTGGCAGCAAAAAGACAGTCGCCAACTGCATAAATGCTGTCAAGCATAAAACATGAATAGATAAACTATGGCAAAAGAATTGTAACAAGTGTTGCATATGTTTTGCATATGTATTTATTATAATACACATAACTTATAGCATGTAAGCCAATATGTGTATCTATAAATATGTGTTAGATGACTAGAAAAGTCTGCTTGTCAACAGACACAAATAACAGCAACAAAACAAGAAGGCGGCATCCGAGTTCGTGGTACAGTCAGCCACGCTGCATATTTTAACATTTCCGGTTTCATTTCACAATGCAAACAAAATGGCCGGCAGACGTGTTTCCGGCATACCAAAGGCACCTGGGCTGACCAAACACAATGAACGGCGGCCAAACTGAATTGGCGCGTGGGCGGGTGGGGGCCCGGGGCGTGTCGCTATGCATATATACATATAGATATACATATATGGGTGCTATATCAGCCAATTGATTAGCGACATGTCCCCTCATCATAACTGGCTTATGATCAAGGTCCGCCGTTGGGAGCCGAATAGTTTCGTATACGCCGTGTGAGCTTTATTTGTATTTTACATTTATTCAGTTTTTCTTTTCTTGGTTAAGAGCAGGTTTGGGTTCGGTTTTTGCGCTTAACTCTTTAATCTTGCAGGCTTTACTTTACTTTTTTTTTGGCTGTGCGCAGTCGACATAAAAAATTTACCAGTTGATTTTATGCTGGATTAAGCTTAAACTTTATACTAAAAGGAACTAAGCAAGCGTAAATGGAGCCTGCTCTTTTTCACCCTTTTTCCCCTTTTACCGACGATTTTTCTCCCAACATGTTGTTCTCCTTGTTGTTGTCTAGCTTGCGATTTTGCTGTGTTTGGGCCCAGTCCCTTGTTAAAATAGCTTTACGGTACGGGGCACTTCGACTGATGGCTGGGTCTTTGGTTTGCCCTTTTACATGTTTGTTTGTGTACGTGTGAGTATGTGTGTGTGTGTGAGCGGGTTGAAGGACGCGTCCGAAGCCACGTCTGACTGATTCTGTCGCATATCCGTAGACCCAGGCGCCAGGCCTGAAATATTTGCTGTGACAGTTTTGGAGGCTTGGCTCTCCTTCCCCCATCTTCCACATAATTCAATAGGTTTTGCGAATCGAAAGTCCATCAAGCAAGTGGAAATTGTGGCAGTGGTTTATAGGCTTATACACATCGTAGCCAATTTTCGAGACAGCCAGCAACTCTCCGGTAATAGCTCCATTATATAATTATTGTGCATTATTGTCTGGGACTGCAGCACAGCACGTGTGTGCTGTCTGTGTCCAGCCCGCTCGATTACCTGGTTTGGTGGTCAGCTCTTGCGTGATTTTTTTTATTGGGTAGAAGCTGCTCGTTTGCCACATTACATTAATTTTCTCCATATCAACGGGGCAGCTACGTTGAAAGCCAATAAAAATTTGTGTCATTCAACCGGCACGAGGCGCATCCCCCACCAACGCCCAACCACTCGATCACCATCGATACATGACTATATATATACATATATTGCATGTGCTGCTGGCGCTGGCGCTGGTCAGTAGTAGGCTCCCTCCTGACAGAATCCAATTTCATTTCAATTGACCAGGCTATGCATA